GACCCAGACCTGCTTTTGGCTGAATCACAACAGTAATATGTATATATGATTGTCCTCATGCACATATACATTTACACGTTATACATATAAATTATATAGACACATTACAACATTCCAACATGTGCTCCACAAGATGTTTCCAAAATTGTGTTTTCTCTTGTTCTAATCTTACAATATATGTGTAATGAAAGAGAATACATTACCTTCTTTATTCAAGTTGTCCTTGCGTGCTTAAGCCAGCTCCACACAAACCCTATAATCAGAAACACAAAGTAGCTTGCTATTTAGTCATGTTTTGACTTGATTATGTCAGTTATCCAGTGCTAGAATTCAGGAGTTACAATATAATGGTATTCAGCCTTCCATTGACTTCAATTGTAGCGGCGAAAAAAGCATATGCATTGAAAATACTATTTTGGGTTCCACAACTTATAATTTGATGCTATTAAACTGTCCTGTCCTTTTCTTGAACAAGAAACTAAAATAGATGCAATCCCTAAAAACACATTGATCTTGTAAAGTCTAGGCTTATAGATCCATTCATTACACAAGTGTCTCCAGTATCATTTTACCATACCACCCAGCTGTCCCTCCCTTGGAGCCAAATCTCTCTGTCCCTCTTTTGGAACTAAATCCCTCTGTCACTCTTTTCTCCTTAGTTGTCCTTTTTTGGACAGATGTCTAGACCTCTATAATAAATACCATACTTAACCAACAGTGTTACACTATACTAAACCTTTCACACAGACCTTTTTTTTTATTTTCACAATATTATTTTATAAAGCCAGTATAACAGAAATATAGTGATAAAAAAAGAACTTGTGGGTGTAGCCAAATATTTTTGTATATTTTTTCTTCATGGTTCACATAACTGGGTGCATGACAGGGGTGCGTGTCTATTGCCTACACGCTTTGTGCTAAAGTGTGACTCTCATTCTTATCTGAAAAAGTTGGGAGGTATGATTTTATAAACATATATGTAGATGGCCATAAACTTTCGGGGGGGGGGAGGGGGGGCTCGATCAGAACACACACACATGCAGGTGCTCACATTGTGCAACACTGATATAAACAGTAACATTCGGCTGATTTAAACCTGAACTTCAGGCAAATATTTTAAAAGTACATTTATTCATCAATCGAAAAAAAATAATAATTACAGATATTTTACATAAATGTACATTTTGTTGTTAACCTCGCTGATTGATTTTTCGACACATGGTGGAACATGGGGCCAACGGATATGAGATTGTCTTCTGACCCAGACTAAAACAGCCAGATGTCTACCCGTGTCTGGGTTGTTTAAAGCAAACTACTGGCCTAAAGCAAATCTGTCTGCTTAAATTGTTAGCATAACATTAGGATATGAACAAAATGGGTTTGTGCAAATTAGCACTACGACAATATTTTCACAGGTTTATAATTGCTAAAGTTGTGAATGACATTACACTCACATACAGTATGTAAGCATTTGACGCCAATGTCATCCATATGATCTGATATAATTGTTGGGACCAGGGCATCAATATGGGGAGGGAATATTTGTAATTTTTGTTTCTGCAGAGACAAGCAGAACAAAGTTGTATCAGCTCAGCCCTTGCCTCGGACTGACAGAAAGTGCCATGGCATCAAATCATGTCACTTTTTTTAAACACAATGAGGATGCTCAGGAGCTGATAAAGCCACTGACAGCCAGTGGTTTCAGTGCTGAATACTGCTACAACCTGGCAATTTTACAAAGGTGCTAATATGAAAAGCTGCTGTCCTAGCGTGGTGTTAAAACATCCCCTGAGACTCAAGTGGTTAATGAACCATCATGTATGAAATAGGAACTTAACCCACCAATTTAATGTCTCCTAAAACCGTTACTTTTACGGCATGCCAACTGTCAAGGCTGTCAGTGCTCTTATTTCAGCTCTCGACTGAACATTTAAGCCTCCAAATGGCTGGTGTCATAGGGGCAGCTGCACGATATAAGGGTGTAGTTCCACTTTAAATTAAATTTTGAGCACACTGGCTCTTCGACACTTAGCATGCTTTACACTGTGTTGTATACTACATATTCCTGCCCACTCTTCATTGAATGCTGTGTTATACTGTATGTTAAAGGGTAAGTATACTTTTGAACAAAACCCCTGACTTTAATTAACCCACCCTCTCCAATCCCATGGACTTCTATGGGGCTGTCTCTCAAGCCTCGGATGAAAGCTCCACATAAAAAAAGGAAGGGGGTGGGGGGGGTGGGGGCATGAGGATTGGTTTGAAAGGCTTGCCCTAGGCCCACCAATGTCTTTAACAGACCCCCTTACCAGTACAGGGTTCGCATTTCATTTTGGGTTCACCACTGCTGTCAAGTTTGTTATTCGGACCTAACGTCAACAGTGGTGGTGTTGAAGGCAAAGCACTCAGTAAAGTGTAACAAGATAAGGAGTGGGAGGGTTAACATTTAACAAAACTGAGATGAACTGTCCCTACAAAGAGGACCTATCACTTTTTCTTTTAATATATATCAGATATGTTATTCTTCAAGTAGATCATAGTTTGATCAGATGTAAATTATAAAAATTTCTGATACACACTGCTAAAAATTGCAATTTTTATAGCAGGCTAACTTTAAACAGAACCAGTTGGTTCGATTTTCATCCGAGAATGTGGCGTTATCATGTCCATTTTAGGATGTACTTCCTACATACCTCTGTTCTACATCAGTCTTCTAACATCTCTCATGCCTGCTAGCAAAGTCACCTCCTCCCTACTTCAAACCCTAAAGTACAACCCCAACTCCAAAAAAGTTGGGACGCCGTGTAAAATCTACATAAAAACAGAATGCAATGATTTGCAAATCTCATAAACCCAGATTTTATTCACAATAGAAAATAGAAAACATATCAAATGCTTAAAATGAGAAAATCGACCATTTTAAGAAAAATGGTTTTCTATTGTGAATAAAATACGGGTTCATGAGATTTGCAAATCATTGCATTCTGTTTTCATGTAGATTTTACACAGTGTCCTAACTTTTTTGGAATTGGGGTTGTATGTTGACAAAACATTTTTCTTTAGTTTTGGATAGAGTAGGGAATGGTTTAAAACTGATTTTTTGTTGTTGATGAAAATTACTTTCTTAAAGCGGACCTTTACCCATATCTTTAAAATAACAACACACACACCTTTAGAAATGTTTAGCAATGACAATCTACAAACACATACTTCTAAATGATTGCCGGATTTGTATTCTTTGCATACCTTATTTCTCTTTTCTTCCCCAGTCTCCTGACAGTGGCCATGTTTACTAAGGGCAGGTTACTAGATCTCCATTTACTTCCTGAAAATCTGGCACATGTGACTAGACATGTGACTAGGACATGTGACCATGCACATCATCTCATGGGAGGAAAATGCCTTTCCAGATGAGATTTCCCAGCAATGCTCTGCTGATAACAAGGCATTCCCAGTGTGCATTGTTTTGGCAAACTGAAGTCATTTTGCCCTTTTAAAGCAGGAAGTGAATGCTCTGCAAGTGTAAGTATTTCAAAATTACAGCATTTTACACCTGATATGTCTATGCTATTATTAACCATCATGCATAGAGGGATGCATTAAAATAATTTGATTTTTGAGTGTAAAGGTCCGCTTTAAATGTTCTTGGTAACCAAAATCACAATTACAGTAAGTAATAGCATATTCAAAATTTATGGTTTTCACTGGAACAGCAGATGAGGGGAAATTTTTAAATGGAGACACTTATTCCAGAGGGATATCCTTTCATTTATAGAGATTTCATCTCACTTCCTGTTGTGTCTCCAGGATAAGGAATGAAGAAAAATCTTCCAAAAGGGGCACAGACAGCACAAAAACCTTATAGAGGTTTTTAAACATACTGTATCCAGAACTAGAAATGTTTGGCTATATATTCAGTTTAGTGAATACCTGAAGCATACCTGTATAGATACAGTTTAATGCATACCTGAAGCCATTTGGCGATACATGGATGTCATGTTAGCTTTTCCTCTTCAGCATTCTGAGTCACCTGACTAACTTGAATCCCACCTACTTCTTAAGACTTAGTATTTGCCAATCACTGTGATGGGTATCCTTTTCTGCCCAAAGGGGAAGCTTAAGTGGGAGCAACTAGATTAGGCTCAGGATTGATATTGACATGTTAGAAAGGCCCAGGATTTGGGGGTCCCAGGGCTCTGAAGAGCAAAACGTACCTGATATGCAAGCATCTTAATGACGTGGTATGTGGTGCCATTAGCAGTAACATAACTGCTTTAAAGTAGACCTAACAAGCAAGTTTCACTTAAAACATTAGGGGCCCTCCCCAAAAATGTATTGAAGCAAAAAAAAAAAAAACTTTGGTGAAAAAGAGTTAGTAACTATGATTAACTTACCCCCAATTTCCACACTGCAGCATCTTCTTAAGAGATTTTGTATACTCAACATTCCCCAGGATGTTCCCAGGATTCTGACCCTACCCTTTACTAGGCACCGCAGCCAGAAGCTGAGAGTATGGTATGTATATTTCTTCACTTTTTTCCTGCAGAGCTTTTTTTTCCGTTAATCCCACAATTTATCAAGGGGGAGAGGGACCTGATGTATTTAAGTGTGCCTTGCTTGTTAGACATAAAAAAGAAGTTAATATTATTATTATCATTTTACCTATCCCTAAATGAGCAGTGCTGTGCCCCTTGAGAGAGCCAGAATCTATTTAGGACATTGTCCTCTCCAAAGTGACCCAGGAACCATAGCGACAAGGTTGTCCTTGTACATAAATCCTGCAGAGATTCATGTCATATCTCATACCATATATCATATCATAATGTATCATATATTGCAATACAATATACCAGAATATAATATTAATAATACAATATAGTAGGATTACTGAACACAGCTGTAGAGGTATTTGATTAGTTTTTCGTATTTTGTACCTTTGTGTATGTTGATGTTGAGTCTGTGTCGCTTGTATAACTGTATTCTCTGTGTTTGTTTGGCAGTATATCGCCTTTGCTTCCCTGTTCTTCATTCTCATCTCCATCACAACGTTTTGCCTTGAGACCCACGAGGCATTCAATGACGTCGTCAACAAGACTGAGACCACCACACAAAACAACGTCACCAAGACGGAGATTATACTAGAAGTGGAGACTGAACCTTTTCTCACATATGTAGAAGGCATGTGCGTGATATGGTTCACGTTTGAGTTTCTGATGCGTGTTTTGTTCTGCCCTGATAAAATGGAATTCATTAAGAGCAGCTTGAATATTATAGACTTTGTGGCCATCTTACCTTTCTACCTGGAGGTCGGCTTGAGTGGCCTGTCTTCCAAAGCAGCCAAGGATGTCCTCGGTTTTCTTCGAGTTGTCCGATTTGTCAGGATCCTGAGAATCTTTAAGCTCACTCGACATTTTGTTGGGCTCCGAGTCCTTGGCCACACTCTACGAGCCAGTACAAATGAGTTTCTCCTTCTTATTATATTCTTGGCACTTGGGGTTTTAATTTTTGCCACCATGATATACTATGCGGAAAGGATCGGGGCAGAGCCAGGAGACCTTTCTGGCAGTGCACACACCAACTTCAAAAACATCCCCATAGGGTTTTGGTGGGCTGTGGTAACAATGACAACTTTGGGGTATGGTGACATGTATCCAGTGACCTGGTCAGGCATGTTGGTGGGTGCCCTGTGTGCTTTGGCAGGTGTGTTAACAATTGCTATGCCAGTCCCTGTCATTGTCAACAATTTTGGAATGTACTACTCCCTAGCTATGGCTAAGCAGAAGCTACCAAAGAAAAAGAACAAACATATTCCGCGGGCACCTCAACCTGGATCACCTAATTACTGTAAACCAGACATGCAGTCTCCCCATAGAAGTGCTCAAGGAGATGCCTGTCCCTTAGCTCAGGAGGAAATCATCGAGATCAACAGAACAGGTAAGATTATATGAATGACTGAATGAAGATAAGCAATAAAAATACTGCATCTTGAATAGATGTGGAAATATTTTGTGTACAATATTATGTCATAACAATTCATGATCTCAAAAGCTGATATTGCATATCTGGTTGTGTTGTAAAGCCCACTGTTGTCTTCTGTCTCTGAAAAAAGTATGATTTGCCTGCCCAATAGCCACTTCTTAGATCATCATAAAGTCAGGCAAGGAAACTTGATGATATCTCCCTTCTGTACGATACAAGGAAAATCCTGTAGTGTGAATATTACACTGTCATAATAGTGTTTCTGGAGTGGGTAGCAGTGAACTCAGAGATCCTATTGCTTAAGTCATTAAGATAAACTCCAGGCAAATTGCTAAATGCCCAGCTGAAATGCATTCAGCATACGGAAGCTGTCTTGCCAGCCAAAGGATTTGTATTTGTGCGCATCCAGTCCTTAGATTTACACAGCCTTGCCAGACAGCACAGTAAGCCTTCTGACCTGACATTCTCTGCTGCAATTAAGCACTTAAACACTGACATTAAACACTGCTCGGTCTCTTTTCTGCCCCTAGCCTGTGATTGGACAGTAAAGGTGCAGCAAAGACTGATGAGGTAATCTTTCTGCTCTCTTCCCTTGTAAGCAAGTTCCTTGTCTGCAGATGTGAATGCAGGAGACCTGATTGGCTCAGAGTGCTGTCCCTTCCTCTCCCAGTCTAAAACTGGCCATAGACTATGCGAATTTCGGCAGGTTCTTGATGAAGGGTGCCGCTGTTGGCAACCTTTCGATTGGCATCCCTTGATCAGCTGATCGAAGGAGCCGTTTGGAAAATCTTCCAACCAGCAAAGCTGCCAGACAATCAGCTGCAGGCACTGCACAGACACCGTGACAGCGGCCACAGGCCGCCGTCAGAATACATTGAAGACAGCAGGAGATTCTTCTATCAACGCTCGTAAGTGTTGATGGAGGAATATGCTAAAGTGTATGGGCAGCTTAATTTCCTTTGTACAGGGGATTACCTGAAGGTGAAAATAAGTCAAATTGACATATTTATACTAGTAGCATTTAAGATACATTTCATTTTTTTAATAAACTTAACTGCATTACAAGTGTTTATTTTTATATCTCCCTGGAGTTTAAACTCTCAAACATTTTTCAGTAATGAATCCAGATCAAGCAATTATACATTGTGCAGCAAAGCATTGCTTTACATTTTTGCCCAAACACTTACAATGATCTTGTTTCTAAACAACTGCTTCCAAGTCTCTCAGATCAGCTTCCCTGAACTTCCTGTCTAATACAAAATCACAAAGGACAGTGCAGACTCCAGTAACTGTTCATCTACCAGCTTAGAGAAGGGAGGAGAGGGGGCCAGGGGGGTGGGGAGTAGCTTGTTTTCCTGTGTCTGTGTGTTTGTGGAGACACACACAGCTTACTAGCACACACAAGGGTGACTGCATAGCCCTCTGCTTGAGAAGGGAATCACTCTAAAACAGGAAGCCAGGAACATAGCTCAGGGGACCAGCTGATTCTGGAAGAAACTAAAACTTTTAAACAATAAGGAGCAGCAGTATGTGATTTTATCAGCATTTGAAATAGCTTAAAATCCTTTTGACTTTAATATCACTTTAATGTTACCTTTCCTTATATGGGACTTACTAGATTGCTTTCAGTACATAGAATATTAGGAGGATGAGAGCAGCACAACAATTGGTTCAGCCCAGTACAGAGGTGAAAAACCAGCGTGTTTCGTGGGCTCAAAATTCCCCCTTCATCAGGGCTGAGAAACAAAAAAATCCAGAAGCAATGTATAAAAACTTTTAACGACAACTGAAAAATATATAAAAGCGTAAAAAATATATATAATATATATATAAAACAGATGCAAATTAATAAATAGAAATAATAAATCAAGATAATAATATAAATTAAAATGTGATGATGATGATGATCAAAAGACAATAGAGAAGGGAAAACATTTGCTAAAAGTCAAATGCCATGGATAAAATAAACATTGCATGAAACACTCTTGGCACAGGAAAGCCCCTGGCCAGCTCAGTGACATATCTCCAATGTGCCGCTTGTCCTTGTGACATCACATGTCCAAGCACGGGGATAGGGATACATCCCTGTGCTGACCATAAAATTCTTTGCAGGAGCACTTTGCCTGACAGCAGTTTATTAAATCTGGCGTTTGGAGAAGTTAACATTAATGACCCGGGCAGTATAATCTCTGATTTTTCTGCTACCCCTTCCAGTATTGCCATTAAGAGGATACAACACTCTAAATACTGGACTTTTCAGGTAACTATCTGCTGCAGGAATCTGCTCAAGCACAAGCTGCATTTTTCCAATAAGTGTGTTGATAATAATAAATGATGAGTGTGGAGGTGGCACAATTGGGGCTCTGGGAACCCCTGGATCAGAAGCCTGACCACAGTTGTGACTGCTGAGACCTCTATTGCTCTCTCAAAGCTTCAGGCAACTTATAACTTTCCTTCAAAGGTACACTCTAGGCAAAATGCATTGCATTTAGGTTGACAGGGAGGACACAGCATTTGAGCTTGTGACTCATCCTGACATCCACCTGGCAGAGCTGACTGCTCCACAAGTCCCTATGACTGAAGGTACTTTTCAATGGCCCTGAATTTGAACCTGGGGAAATTCAGGATGCCTTTTTTTTTGCTTTCAAGCACTGTCCTCAGTACTTCTGAGATAGAGGATGACAGCACAGAATCATGTAACTAAAAGCTTGAGTTTCATCTGGAAGCACTATGCAAAGCCTGCCAACTGCAGCCAATAATATATGAGTCACATTCAAGACAAATGTTTTGAATTCTTTTACTCCAGCACGGTTGCAATGGAGCCTGCATTGTATTAGTAATTTACTATCTGACTTTGCTTATTGTCTGAAGATGAGTGGTATACATAAATCTTATCTTATATTGAGGACCCATTCACAGCTGATTGTGATCGTAGTCAGGCGATTTAGAGGCTTTTTTTGCACAATTGTGCGCTTTTGGCCCCATAGGAGAGGCTAAAAATGGGAGCACCTGAAAAACACATGTAAACACATGTTTTTCAGATGCTCCCATTAAAGTCTAAGGGGTCCAAAATGCATGATTTTACCCTAAAAGAAGCTCATGTACTCATATGACTGTCATGTGACAGCGATCATCAGCACAATGCTCAGGTGTAAACAGACCCTTTGAGAATAACAGGATTCTTAATTTTGAGCTCTGTCATGCTTCAAGAATCGCTCAATGAAATGCTTAGGTGTGAATGTGGCCTTGAAACTAAGTGCACCTTTATAGCAGGGTGTTAAAAGCTCCGTTGTAGAAAATTTGTAGTGGCAACCATATACCTCCAATATTGGCAAATGGCAATGGTTTCTGTTTTTCCTAGCCTGTCTACAGCCTTTCTGCAGTCTTCACAATACCAGCTCCCCCAGTGGTACTTGCAATCCGACAGATGCTGGTACAAACTTTACAAATAATAAAACAAATTCCAGGTACAAATGCAAATCTAAGTGTGTGACAGTTGGTGGACTGTCAGACCAGAACTGGTGCATGCCAGGCTACAAACTTGGCAGTAGCATCACCGAAGGATGGAACAATGTGTTGGCCGTGGGCAGGCTTTTGTCGACAGATTTCCTGGTCTGAATCTGATATCTTCAATTAGGGTGCACTTTTATGTTCTTTTATATCAACACTGATTTCTCATCATTTCTCCATTTCTTTTCCTGTAGCAATGTTTATTTTGCACGATGGACAGTGTATCAGCTAGGATCCGATCAGTTGTTATAGTCAGCAACTTCATTTTTCATTTGGTACAGTTCTTCCAAAATTAAAAACATATATATGTTCATAAAATATACAAATGCAAAACAAAAAGAAAGGGGCTGCTAAATATAATATTAAAAAGTTTATGTACGGTATATCTGCGCAGAAAATAAAAAATCCATCAGTATCGTGTGCTGCTGCTGCTATAGTGGAACTAATTGGAAGTCTATGAAGGTTCTCATTTATCCAGGCTATGGTAGCTAGTAGTATATGGTCACATTCAGCTAGACTTTTCTGATACTCATTTGAGCTGAAGAAGCTATTTTGATGAATGCTGAAATGTTTTCAACAGTACAGAACAGTCCAGTCAAATGTGACTAACTGAACTGGAAGTCAACTTTAAACTTGTGGCATGACTCTGACTTAATGGAAAATTGGGAGCTGGGCTTACAAAGAAGTTTATAGTGTGTGTGAATCCCAGAACAGGTCAAATTTATCGATGGAGCAACAGCTCAGAATTTGCTCATTTCTAGGTACTGCAATGTCCCTTTTTCGAACATCAAAAAACTTTGTGATACAATTCGTGTTTTATGAATATCACATAATGTTCACATTCGCTGTCCATAGCATCTTGGATTTTTAAAGTGGTTCTATACTCAGTTGTTATCTTAAAGTGACACTAAACTCTACAGTTAAATCTTAAAAATGCATGTAAGTACCTTGACTATTAACCAAAGCTTATTTCTGCATCACTAGGCTCAAACTCAATTCCCTCGAGGGCCACTCGACAAAATTTTTTCTCCCATGGGAGCCGCTCGACAAATTTCAAACCTTAAAGGAGAACTATGAGGTGATTTTCACTCATCCTCATAGTTCGAGCCGACATGTGACAATGAAACTGTCACACGTCGGCTCAATAGATCGAGAAGTGAGCGAACGCATACCGTCGCTCGCTCACTTCTCTACCCTGTCCCTGCAGAGAGCCGTGACTGTCAGTCACAGTTCCCTGCAGGGATCCCCCCCTCCGATCCTCCAGCTCTGACTGGAGGAACGAACAGGGGCGGGTACAGCTGGCTCTGCCTCTAGATAGGCAGAGGGAGCTGTCAATCACGCAGCTGGGGGGATCTCGACAGTAATGTCCGGATCTGTCCCGGCAGTGGCGGTCTCAGTATACCACGAGCTGTAGCTCCCTATATACTGAGCTTTGGGTCATGGGA